GTTTTACGACTGTCTGCTATTTCACGCATTGTGCAGCAGGGGGCAGCTGTGAGTCCTCAGGAAATCACAGCTGGCCCCTAAAGCCAAGATGGCGGCACAGAAGATCCATAATCCTGAAAAGAACCAACTGTTTGGAAGACAGTGCTTGACTTTCTGGGCAAAGAAGTATGTGTTTCTTAAAAGTCAGCAGCTACAATATGTGTAGCTGATCACTTTTAATTATCACACGCCCGAGTGAATTGCCACTTAAATTCGCTGATGACACACAGTTGCAATATTTCCCGGTTTGACACTTGCAGTTTACTGTATACAAATGTACAAAAAATGTGTTACACCAGGGCTTACAATTTCGAGTCTAGACCTACCAGCCAGGCACAAACCTTACTCTACACCAATTGCCCCACCCAACCTTGCTCAGGTCCGCCTCCAACCCCGGCCCATCCCCCAACCCTGCCCCCAGCCCTTCCCCAACCACACCCCCTTAAAGCTTAAAAGTAGCTTTATGTTTTCTACTTTTACAGTTGCAAGAAAAAGTATGTGAACCCCTTGGGATTACGTGGAGTTTTGCATGAATTGGGCATAAAATGTGCTCTGAACGTCATCTAAGTCACAACAATAGAAGAACACAGTCTGCTGAACATAATACTACACAAACATTAGATGTTGCCATGGTTTAATTGCACATAACATGTAAACATTCACAGTGCAGGGAGGAAAAAGTATGTGAACCTTTGGACTTAATAACTGGTTGACCCTCCTTTGGCAGCAATAACCTCAACCAAACGTTTCCTGTAGTTGCAGATCAGACCTGCACAACAATCTGGAGTAATTTTGGACCACTCCTCTTCACAAAACTGTTTCAGTGTAGCAATATTCTTGGGATGTCTGGTGTGAATCACTCTCTTAAGGTCATGCCACAGCATTTCAATCGGGTTGAGGTCAGGACTCTGACTGGGCCACTCCAGAAGGCGTATTCTATGCTGTTGCAGCTATTGTTTTGTTGAATTCCTTGTATGCTTTGGGCCATTGTCCTGTTGCATCACCCATCCTCTGCGGAGCTTCAGTTGGCGGACAGATGGTCGTACATTTTCCTGCAAAATGTCTTGATAAACTCTGGAATTCATTTTCCCATCAATGACAACAATCCGTCCAGGCCCTGAGGCAGCAAAGCAGCCCCAAACCATGATGCTCCCTCCGCCATGTTTTACAGTGGGGATGAGGTTTTGATGTTGGTGTGCTGTGCCTTTTTTTCTCCACACATAGTGTTGTGTGTTCTTCCCAAACAACTCAATCTTGGTTTCATCTGTCCACAGTATATTTTGCCAGTAGTGCTGTGGAACATCCAGGTGCTCTTTTGCAAACTTCAAACGTGCTGCAATATTCTTTTTGGACAGCAATGGCTTCCTCCGTGGTGTCCTCCCATGTACTCCATTCTTGTTTAATGTTTTCCTTATTGTAGATGTGTCAACAAAAATGTTAGCATGTGCCAGAGATTTCTGTAGGTCTTTAGCTGACACTCTGGGATTCTTCTTTACCTCATGCAGCATTCTGCGCTGTGCTCTTGCAGTCATTTTTACAGGACGACCACACCTAGGGAGAGCAGCAACAGTTCTAAACTTTCTCCATTTGTAGACAGTTTGTCTTACCGTGGACACATGAACATCAAGGCTTTTGGAGATACTTTTGTAACCCTTTCCAGCTTCATGCAAGTCAACAATTCTTGATCGTAGGTCTTCTAAGAGCTCTTTTCTGCGAGGCATGGTTCACATCAGACAGTGCTTCTTGAAACCAGTAAGCCCAAAACAGGTGTGTGTTTTTTAAGGGCAGGACAGCTGTCAGCAACACATCCAATATCATCACACTGATTGGAGTCAAGGTTGGCTCACTCCTGGCTCCAATTAGCTCTGGGAGAAGTCATTAAGCTAGGGCCTCACATACTTTTTCCTCCCTGCACTGTGAATGTTTACATGTTATGTGCAATTAAACCATGGCAACATCTAATGTTTTTGTGTAGTATTATGTTCAGCAGACTGTGTTCTTCTATTGTTGTGACTTAGATGACGTTCAGAGCACATTTTATGCCCAATTCATGCAAAACTCCACGTAATCCCAAGGGGTTCACATACTTTTTCTTGAAACTGTAAGTCATACATTGTTGTACTGCAGCTCAACCTCACTGAGTCTTTCAATTCTTTTTATCAAAAAATTATTTGTTGCAATAAACATTTATTGTTTTATACCTGTGTACACACGTTTTTTTTTGCCTTTCAAAGTCCCAGGGGGATATTTCCATAGCTGTTGTATGTTTCAATATTTGGGATGTTGGCAAACACAGTGTAAATGGTGGGGCATTGTACCCAATTTCCTAGTCTTTGTAATCTCACCAGGCCAGACACAGACAACAGTAAAATACATAGGTTCTAGCCCTTTCTCTCTCTATACAAAACTTAAAACAATTGAGCGCGCTCCACTCTCTGACAATGAGTAACGACCTGTAGTGTGCATGCCAGCAGCTCACCTTAAGCTGGCCATACACAAGTCATTTTCCCCAAGGCGGTGGAGAGCGGGCCTTGTGTCCCCCAAGGCATTGTAGAGCGGGCCTTGTGTTCCCCAAGGTGGGGTAGAGCGGGCCTCGTGTCCCATAAGGCGGTGGAGAGCGGGCCTCGTGTCCCCCAAGGCAGTGAAGAGTGTGCCTCTCCTCGTGTCCCCCAAGGTGGTGGAGAGCGGGCCTCTCCTTGTGTCCCCCGCGGCGGCGAAGAAGAAGAAGTCGGAAACCGGAAGTCGACTTCACAGCAAGGCTTGGAGCGCAAGTGGAATTCAAATTGATCCACGGGGCCTGGGGACTCTATTGCAAGCCACCTGCTCCATTGCAAGCCACCCGCTCCATCTGTGCTCGCCACAAAGGGATTTCCCCTTTTCATTTGGCAAGCAGGCGAGCGGACATTTCAAGCCCTGTGTTACACTATATCCCAAAATTGTTCTGCAAATATACTTATGAATCAGTCCTCATATATAACAAAATATTAGAATTTATATAATACAGTTTATAATTATTAAAAATAAATATTTATTATAAAGAGTTTATAAGTTCAGCCGTGTGTTGAAAAAGTGAATGAGAGTCCAGAAAATTCCCAAATAAAAATCAATTTTTCTTCCTCAAGTGTCCCTATGCCCCTTGAAGGAGAAACACGTAGGACAGAGCTTCACACCCACTGGCTTTTCAGAGCGATGTGGCCATCTCATGCTTTTCTCTTTTGCACACTTAAATCACATCAATGAAAGCAGGAGGAAAACAAAGGAGAAATCCATATGCAGTATCCTCAAGAACTATTTATTAATAAAAAGAAAGGGTACTCACAAGTGTGGAAAAGAGACTATCATGAAATCACCACACTCCTCTGAAAAGCCAGTGGGTGTGATGATGTCACAACCAAAGCTCCTCCCTACGCATTTGTCTACCCAGATGTTCTTTAGGAGCACAGGATGAAGTTGTCTGTGTGGATGAAACATGTAGGGTGGAGCTTTGGAGCTGAAGTCATCATGCCTGCCAGCATGTCTCTTTTGCTTACTTGTGAGTACCCTTTCTTTACCTTCTATACTATATTTTCTCCTTTGTTTTCCTCCTGATTGCATTGATGTGGTTTATGTAATCAGAGTACGTGCATAGAAAAGGCTAATTATAACTACCAGTGTGATGAATTGGGGAGATAAAACGCTAGCTATCCTCCATTACCTTGAGGTCTAGTTTTCTGGTATGAGGTTTATTCAAATAAGGTGGTGAAGCACTGAACACTTGAGGAATATTTTTATGGACTCTCAATCACTTATCTAAGACTCGGCTGAACTTATAAATTCTTCTGTATTCTCTCAATTCTATTATTTTGTGCATGCATCAGTCTATTTATGAGGACTGATTCATATGTACTGTATATTTGCAGAACAAGTTTGGAATATAGTGTAAGACTAGGTTCGCACCTATGCGGTTTGCTTTTGATGGTGCATTTTGCGATTTTCACATGCATTTTCACACTTTTTTGATGCATTTTGCTTTTTTTTAATGCTTTTTTGGCCAATATGTTGTTGAGCAGATTAAAAAAAGGCAAAATACATCAAAAATGCTCTACGTGCTTTTCTGCAGCATCTCAGTTGAAGTCTATTAAGCCCAAAAACACATCGTTTTGCCTTTATAAAAGTCCCTGTCCCTTTTCAAAAATGCAGCGGCAGAAAAAAGCATAGATGTGATCATGTCCAATAGGAAACCATATTAAATGAACTGTTGTACGTTTCTGCAAAAAGCAGCACAAAATGTATAGGTGTAAACCACATTTTTTATGTTAGTATGTATACACTATTTTGTCTAAGGGTCCATGCACACTGGGCGTTTTAATAACGCTGGTAACGTTCGCTGTGTAAAGTCAGGTTATTTTTTTGCATTAGCATTTAGCGGCGTTATGCCGTGTTTTTTCGCGTTTACGTTTTTTAGCATTTTTTTTGAGAAGTCATGGGGTTTTTTTCCAGCCAAAAAACGCCCCTACCAAAAAACGTTGATTACACTGTGTGCATGAACCAAAAAACGTTGAAAAAACGTGGTGTGCATGAACACATAGGATAACATGCTGGGGGGTTTACTGGCTGTAGAAAAAAACGTCAAAAGCCAAAACAGCCGCTGTAAAAACGTCCAGTGTGCATGAGGACTTAAAGAGAAAGCACAACACACTTTTTTTGGTTACATGTTTTAGCTACTATTATATTTGGATACCAGTGAGTGATGCTGTTATTATTATGTACAAATTTTTTTACAAATCACATGGTCTTTGGCACTAAGCACAGGTTGCTTTTACTATTATACTTACATTTTACCTTTTCACTCCCTAAAAATTGCATCATTTTTGGAATGTCATTCAGTAAATGAATATCTTGGTTTCCTCCTACCAAATTAGCATCTGTGTCATCATACTATTCTATATACTAACTATTGCATTTAAAATGTTTCCCGTCAGGTACCATGAGTGGATGAAGTCAGAGGACCTACAGAAACTTACAGCCTCTGAGCCCCTGACCCTGGAGCAGGAATATGATATGCAGTGCAGATGGAGAGAGGATAACGATAGTAGGTTGCACACATTAGCTGGACATTAAGAAATAATAATATATAAACAATTTGAATGGAAAAACATTTCAGTAAAAGCTATCTGAAATTCACAAAAAAGAATAGTAAAAGTCTTTTCACTGAAGTCCAAAGTAAACTTCAGAAATAGATCATAGAAAAATTTTTAGAAGAAAGTTGTGTTCCATTTATTTTCCCTACTGTAGTGTAGACACTGAAATGTTAGTTGCCAAAGGGCAACATTTTATGTCCAGTTTTATAAAGTACACTTATCATTTTCATGATTCCATTTCCTATAGCACTGTTATCTACAATCCATTCGTCTCAGAGTCGCCTCCTCTTCTCTCAGTTCACCTTTTCTTTTGTTGTCTTAGGGGCATACCTGTTATATGGTGAATGATCACCACTTGTGCCCGAAGACTTTCTGTGACTGGTTTACAGATCATTCATTTATTTGAGGTACTTGTATAGTAACGACAATTTATGCAGCACTTGAACTCCAGACAGATAGCATATAAGGCACAAAATAATGCAGTTCTGTATTCATTAATACATCAGGTAGGTTAACTACTTAAATCTAATTTAATATCCGCCTCTTAAAGTCACTGTACAGCAGAGCACAGACTGAGAGTGAAGCAAAACAATGAGCCAGTCTGCTGTTGCTACAGTGCTCATTTTCCAGCAAGAAGCATAGTGATAGGGGGAGAGAACAGAAAGATGAGCTCTTCAGTCTGCTGTTTTTTTTCTGTCCAGTCACAGTTTACTGTAGGTGAGGGACATGACCTGTAAGCGATACTAAACTACAGCAGAGAAAGTACAGGTCTTCTGACAGACAGTGGCAGAGCTGTCACATGTCCCATCCTGATGAACTGAATTCATCTCATTAAATGGTCCCATGAAAAGGAAACATATTTGTACTCTACATTTCAGAGTGTACCTTCATCATACTGGATGCTGCAAGATGGGATCAGGGATGCCCAGAAGAGCAGTGCATGGTGGGAGATGTTAATTTGTTTATCACTGATCCTGAAAACCCAGCATTAGCAGAGATTGAAATTATGATTGCAGGTGAGTCTCAACATATTCCCATACCAAGTCTTTAGTTGTAAACCTTTTCAAACATTTACAAGTTTGTGTTTTAAGAGGAAAAATTTTTTTAAAAAAGTTTTTTTTTTTCAGAAGAAATTATTACAAAGGGCTCATTTACACTTGAGGTTGAGGGAGGTCAAAACAGATGGCTGAGTTGCATTTGTAACCACCCTCCGACTTCCCCATTTAAAGGCAGATCACACCACCATTGTGGTGTGAATAGGGCACATGGAAATCAATTGTGTCCTCTAGTGCGGGAAAAATGCCAGTCATAGCACATAGAGTAAGCAAGCCCTAATGGTTATCATTAATCAGCATATTCCGGGGCTGAAGTTACAGATAACTAATCAAACTCAAATCTAGTGCTCTTCCTTCTGTCTGGGAATGGTGGATGCTGGCAAACTGGAACTTCAACAGGTATGGGGGCGAGCAATGTGTATCAGCACCCTGTAATGTGTCATATACTATAGTAAACTTAAATATGCACTTGGTTGCTGCTACAGATTTGTGATTTATGCAAGGTACGAATGTTAAAAGAACTTCACCAATGACTTTATATGTATACTATTCTGTATGTTGGAGAGTCAACATGTCACTCAAGAACCTTGGTAGATGCATAGAAATATTTTTGTCTAGTTCAGGGGTCTCCCAACTTTTTAGTACAAGGGCCCCATTGTGTATTTTACAAATATTCACAGGCTGAGAAAAATCCCCATAAGAATCCTCCCTTACATTAGGGTCCCATAAGAATTCATTTCAGTTCCGGTATTAGGTCCCCATCAGAGTCTCCTTACATCAGAGTCCCGATCAAAGTTCCCCCTTACACCAGGGTCCCCCCCTTACATCATGGTCCTCTGTTATATCAGGGTTCCCACCTTACATCAAAGTCAGGGGAAAAGTTCTCCCCTTTACATCAGGGTCCCTGTCAGAGACCCCCCCCCCTTACATCAGGGTCCCCTTCCCCTTATATCAGGATTCCCCTTAGTCAGATTCCCCCCTTACATCATAGTTCCTATCAGAGCCCCCCTTATATCAGAGTCCCCCCCCCCCCCCCCAACATCAAGGTCCTGGTCAGAGTCCTCGCTTACACCAAGGTTGCCATCAGAGTCTCCACTTTACATCAAGGTCCTAGTCAGAGTCTCTGCCTTACATCAGGGTCCCCGTCAGAGTCACCCCTTACATCAGGGTCTCTGTCAGAGTCCCTACCTTATATCATGCCCCTGTCAGAGACCCCCCCCCCTACATCAGGGTCTCCATCTTACATCAGAGTTATCTTCAAAGTCCCTCCTTACACCAGGGTGCCTGTCAGAGTCCCCTTTTCATAAGACTCTCCTCTTACATCAGGGTCCCCATCAGAACACCCACTTACATCAGAAGCAAAGACCATAGGCAGTTTGTTGACCTTAATCCTTCAAGTGCTCAGTGCTCATTGAGGATACACCACTGACCCTAGCTGGGGGTCAGACAACATTTTGTAATGGGCTGGATTTGGTCCACGGGCCGCAGTTTGGAGACGCCTGATTTAGTTTATAAAGTGGTCATATATTTTAAAATACATTAATCTTTTAGTATGCTATGATGCAGAAGAAGACATGCAATAAAAAAAAAAAAGACATATTCCTTGAAACTGACACACTGGCTTTTGAGAGTGTGTAATGAGAAAGTCCATCTCCATCACTCATTGTTGTAGTCTCTCTGAAACACCCTTGTCATCAGTTGTAGAAATGTCCTGAATCTTCCTGTTCATCACACAGAACACACACAACACATCAATTCATGCTCTCATAATGTCTCTTCACATCCTCGATGTCTCCTAGCTAATTAGCTTTCACTTCACACACAACCGTACTCTGAGCAGCACTTAATAAATGTCACTGCCATATTTCCCTAATTCATTCATCAATCTTTTAAGAATTCTGCATCTTGCTAATATATATCAATCTGAATTGTTTTTTTTTTGTTTACAAACTTTTATTAGGTATAAATTGGTTTTACAAAGAAAACACAGTTGTACAGATATACAAAATAGGGTATTCCAATAAAAAAAAGAAAAAAACAGACGATAGTTACATATGAATGCATATAACCAGGGTAAACAAGACAATACCAGTATATAAACAGAGAAGGCCGATATATATTATAGATACGTGATCCCGTATAAAAGGGTAACGATGGAGCAGTTAACATTCAGTATTTCGAAAAAGAGATTTGAGTGTTCAAACCAAAGATCCCATTTGTTGTTATAAAAACTCATAGAATTATATTATGTGTGAAATATTTTTTCCATACAGCAAATCGAGTCTACTTTCATTTTTAATTGTGGAATGGGAGCTGAGGGGGACTTCCAGTGTCTAGCTGTAAGCCAGTGCATGGAAACACAAATGGTATGGAAAAGTCTCATCTGAGGGATAGAAAGTCCTGGGATATTAGTGAAAAGTAAACAATTGGCTAGGGTAATGTGAATAGACAAGTACCAGATATACAGTAGCTGTAGAGAAAGCTTCAAGTTTACGCCAAATAGGAGCAATTTTCTCACACTCCCAAAAAAAAATATGGGAAAATGAACCTGGGGACTGACATCCTCTAAAAACACTCTGAGGACACTAATAGAAAGATAGAATGCAATTTACAGGTGTAAAATACCATCTAGTAAAACGTTTAACAGCAGTTTAACGAATTGTGAGTGATCTTGTGCATTTACGAAGGTTCACGATGCATTCTTGCCAATCATCTATAGAGAGAGTTAGGTTACAGTCTAATTCCCATTTTTGCATATATAAAAGTTTAACTTGAGGGTCCATATTCACCAATCTGTTATAAATCTCAGAGATAAGACCTCTTCCCCTTAAGTTTTTTTTGACCCATGTGTTCATAAAATGGTGGGGGTATCAATCCGAATTCTATTGTAAATCTAGATATAAGACAGGTCGCCATTGAGGACTGCGCAATGAGCCCAGCAAGTTGTTTTAATGTAATATTATTTATTATTACAGGTACTCACAGTATATAGCATTGTCAGTTTACACAGCGCTTTATATATTGTACATTCATATCAGTCCCTAAACCTCAAGGAGCATACAATCTAAGGTCCCTAACTCACATTCATACATACAAATACTAGGGCCAATTTAGACAGGAGCCAATTAACCTACCAGCATGTCTTTGAAGTGTGGAAGGAAACCAGAGTACCCAGAGGAAAAACACACAGGCACAGGGAGAACATGCAAACTCCAGGCAGGTGATGCCATGGTTGGGATTCGAACCAACAACCCTAGTGCTGCCAGGCAGAAGTGCTGATCACTTAGTCACTGTGCTGCCCATAATATGAATTGAGTTGCATTCTCTGTCTAAGGTAATATATGAATTTAAGGATGTGATGCATAATTGAGATGTCCCTGATTTCTATGTACATACTGTCTTCCATTATTGAATTATCTCACAAGAATTTTAATCATAATTTCCCTTCCACCAAGCTATGTCAATTGTGTGTTACTAAAGATCTGTTGTGTCTTTCCAGAGCCCACATGTCGTGGCAAGGGGTTTGGTGAAGAGTCGACGAGACTCATGTTATTCTATGGTAAGATATATAATTGGTTTACTTCTTGGAACTAGAAACCTTTTAACCCCATTTGTGAAGGCTGCTAGGGGCCAGTTAAAGCGGTAGTAAACCGCATCAAAAAAAAGAAAAAGACACCTCCTGCAAGGTAAAGGCATAATGTGCTAGTATGCATTGCACGCTAGCACATTATGAAGGACTTACCTTGAAATAAAGCCCTCCAGTGGAGCACTGTCACAGCTCTCCGGGGCTTCCATCTTCACCCGGTCTTCCTTCCAGGTTCGCGAGCTCTGGCTGGCTGACTGGCCGAGCCATGATAACGTCACTCCCGCGTATGCACGCAGGAGTCACGGGCCATGGCACAGTGCTTTGAAAGAATGGCATGGGTTTGCCATTCCTTCAGAGTGCATGCGCTGGCTATCAGATGGGGGTAATATCTTTTAAACAGTTCACATTTAAGAGATATAATTTTACTTTCAAGCTTTATTATGGGCTTACCTGTAGGTAAAATTATTAAAGAAGAGTTTAATACCACTTTAAGTGAGCTTCTGTGCTGGGAGACTGCATTTGGCTTTCACAGTGGTCACATGATTGGAAGCCTGTCCCCACAGACTTCCAGTCGGAAGCTATATCAGAGGACTGTCGGAGCATGCAATATTTTTAGCACACAACCTGAGACTGCAGTGGACGTATACATGCAGCATCTGGGTGCTGAAGCCCACTTTTTTTGCTGATGAATATATGCATTATTCAGTAAGGAGTATGTTAGCCTGCAATATGTTGATTTCTATTGTTACCTCTTTTACAGGTATTTCTTCTTTGGGAATCTCTACATTTCAAGCCAAAATAGGTCAGGAGAACATGAAGAGTGTTCAGCTCTTCCAGAAACTGCATTTTGAGGAGGTAAGGTCTTCTTCATACATAGCTCAAATAATAGGCACATGTGTTCGATAGTCATAATAAATAAAGCAACACCTGTATACTTAGGATTATTATTTCCAAAATGCTGTATGTTCATTATACAGGGTAGTTATATAAAGCGAGCCTTGCTTGAGCTTGTACCCTAAGTTGCATTTAATGTGGTTTATTGGACAGACTTTCAGACAAAGTGCACTTCTTTTTTGTCCCTGTGTCCTCACCTAAACCATCCCCCTCCACAGATCTGTAATGAGATCTGTTGGCAGCAGCCTTCGGGGATTGATTATATCCAATGTCACAAGACTTCCTCTGCTAGCTGCACCCATGCATGACCCTCACATAGACTTCTATGGAACTACCAATGCGACCAAGAGAAGGACTTAGATGGGCACAATCAGGAGAGGGAGACTTATAGAACAGGATGTAAACAATCCTGGAAGGCCAAGAACATCAGGTATCGGTAAGTATAGATCTTTACAGGGTGAAGGTGGAACAGTTTAGGTCAGATAACAAGTGTAAAAAGACTAAGTACAGTTTGTCTGAAATTGTTCTGGAGTAAAAGCTGCATAAGGATTGAGAGAGGGTAGATGAAGTCCTTCTAAACAACAGTTCATCCTACCCTTCTCTGCCTACATAAAGAATTCCCTCCTAACATGAGGTCACTCCCTTCTTAAAGGATGACTAAACCCAAGAATTTAAATTTAATATATTACAGCTCACTAGTCCTTAGAACCTAAGAACATTTTCAGCAAGTGCTGAAAAGATACCTGTTGACTTGGCCAGAAATGCCTTGTTCTTCCTATGAGTTAAAATGGAACATTTAAACAATGTTATCTTTTCATCTGTACACTGCTAATCCGACTACCTCCCAGTAAGGGAGATGAACAAAGGCAAACATGGTTGTAGTCCAGCCTGGGTGACTACAACGGCTCCCTCGATGGATACATTAAAGAATGGAGCATAGCCACCTAGGGATAGGAAGTCATAAGATTACCAAGTGAAAACAAATTCGAACAGCCTGAAAAAAACATTAATGCAACCACCTTATATGAAGACTGCAGTATGTTATATTTGTTTACAAACGGTTTTATTTTGCAAAAGTAGAATGTAAAACAACAGTACATTGTCAAGTGATATTTACATCAAAAACAAGGCACTTTTGAAAAGTACAATACAGAAAAGTGTATTAATGTATGTTATATTTTTGTTTTTGGGTTTAGATATAAACTTTCAATCCTGGAGAAAGTTTGGGCCTGACAAGACATTGTAACCAAGGCATGCGAAAAGCCCTGTCAGTTGCCTTTAATGCTCGGGGGGAAGGGGTGTGTGTGTGAGGAGTGGGTGGGGTGCTAAAAATACAGAGAAATACAAAGCAGCATGTCCTTGCTGGCAGGAGAGAGACCTGTGTTGTTTACAACACAGTCAGCTTTCCCCGACAATTGCCGGGTGCCGGTGGGGAATCACCGGCCGGGACCCGATAATTGACATCTGTAGCCGCCAATGGCAGCATGGGTAGGGCGGCATGCGCATGCCCCCTACCCGGAAATTCAAGTCACAAATATATACGTGATTTTACATATCCCTGCCGCCCTGTAGCAGTACTTCTACTATAGGGCAACGGGCAAGAGGTTAAACTAGCAATGTCCTATCAACAAGGCAGGACAGGATGATGTCATGTCTGGGAGTCCAGGCTTTTGGGGGGTATGTACAGTAAATAGCCTACACCTATACCAAGTCAAAGCTGCACAGTTTGTTTTTATCTACAGGCACCCCTTATCTGCATAGGCAGTTTTTTTAAAGGTGAGCTAACCCTTTAAAAGCTAATTGCAATTATTGTTGATAAACTATGGCCATTGGAGGGGTTATATGCATCAGTATGGGATCAGCTACATCTGTCAGTAAAACTCCAACTTCTAAGTTAAGATAGTCATACAACCGGAATCAAATATTAAAAGACGACATTAAAACAATTTAGCCCAATTTTGTAAAATAATAATAACTGAGCCCTGATCATAACATGGTGTATTTGACTTTATCATGTGTCTTTTATATCAGGTTTCTTTTAGCTCAGTATTCCAGGAGCTCACTCTGCAGTGGAAAGTGACAGATGAAGAGAGGCAGCAGCTTCTGGATACAGCCCATTTTACAGTGACATCATACAGAAATCTGAAAGTGCCAGAAAATCAGGAAATAAATAGCATACAATAGGTATGATCAGTAGAGATGTCAGAGAGTACACATTTAATTTAGAAAATATACTGATTTATCACTTGGTTCTAACCATGATGAGATCTTCGTGTTCACCATATAATTAATTATTTCGCTGCCAGAGCCCTTTTTGTAGATGGTTAAAAAATCATTTTAGGCCTGAAGATTAATTAAAACCCCCAAACACTATACTGTATACTTTCTGAAAGCAGAAACCCTGGAGATAAGAAATACTGGTATTTCCAATTTTTTAAAACAATAGTTTATCTAGCACACATTTTCAGCAAAAAAACAAACTTAAATTAATTTTAGTGCACACAAATGCAATATATTACCCAAATTTCTGGTACAATATAAAAGATGAAGTTGTGCTTTAAATTTGCACATGCCTGAAAAAAAAAAAGACAACAAACTTCAGTACCCTATATTTTCCATAGATGGAAAAGCCGCTACAGGTCATCATTTCAGAGTTAAAGCAGAAGAAAATTCAGTCATTTCAGCAGTGACCAACCAATTTTTAATCCATCTATGGCTGTTCCCACCCATCAGAAGTCAATGTAACAATCAACTTTTGTTGTACAGGATGCTGGAAAAATTTCATTCAATCAGCAGGCTGCAGGCCATCAGATGCAACATAGATCAACTTCAATGCAACCAGCTTGCCCAGAGAAGGATTAAAATTTGGCCAATTCCTGCTAAACCAGCCAAATTTCGATCCCCCTATGGCCAGCTTAACTGACAGGCGAAGCTGTTCTATCTCTGCTTAGGGAGTGAGAGCGGTTGTGTCTGCTCTGAATCATTTAGGTTTAAATTGAACACATTTGTACAGGGTTGCATCTGCAAGACTTACACCAGCATTCTTGGTTTATGTTCACTTTAAATAGTTTGTATGGGTCAACTTAGGTCAAATAAATTCTTACCATTGCAGAACAGATGGGCTGCTGGGAATGCTGTAATACACTTTAGTAGCCTGTGCTATATACAGGTGAAACTCAAAAAATTAGAATATCGTGCAAAAGTTAATTTATTTCAGTAATGCAGCTTAAAAGGTGAAACCAATATATGAGATAGACTCATTACATGCAAAGCAAGATAGTTCAAGCCGTGATTTGTCATAATTGTGATGATTATGGCTTACAGCTCATGAAAACCCCAAATCCACAATCTCAGAAAATTAGAATATTACATGCAATCAATAAAACAAGGATTGTACATAGAATAATATCGGACCTCTGAAAAGTATAAGCATGCATATGTACTCAGTACTTGGTTTGGGCTCCTTTTGCAGCAATTACTGTCTCAATGCGGCGTGGCATGGAAACTATCAGCCTGTGGCACTGCTGAGGTGTTATGGAAGACCAGGATGCTTCAGTAGCGACCTTCGGCTCTTCTGCATTGTTCGGTCTCATGTCTCTCATCTTTCTCATGGCAATACCCCATAGATTCCCTATGGGGTTCAGGTCAGGCGAGTTTGCTGGCCAATCAAGCACAGTAATCCCACAGTCATTGAACTTGGTTTTGGTGCTTTTGGCAGTGTGGGCAGGTGGCAAGTCCTGCTGGAAAATGAAGTCAGCATCCCCATAAAGCTTGTCTGTGGAAGGAAGCATGAAGTGCTCCATAATCTCCTGGCAGACGGCTGCGTTGACCCTGGACTTAATGAAGCACAGTGGACCAACACCAGCAGATGACATGGCTCCCCAAATCAACACAGACTGTGGAAACTTCCAACTGGACTTCAAGCATCTTGCAGTGTGTGCCTCTCCATTCTTCCTCCATACTCTGGGTCCTTGGTTTCCAAATGAGATGCAAAAGTTGCTCTCATCAGAAAAGAGAACTTTGGACCACTGAGCAACAGACCAGGTCTGTTTTTCTTTAGCCCAGGTAAGACGCTTCTGACGTTGTTCGTTGTCAGGAGCGGCTTGACAAGAGGAATATGACATTTGAAGCCCATGTCCAGGATCAGTCTGTGTGTGTGGTGGCTCTTGATGCACTGACTCCAGCCTAAGTCCACTCCTGTGAAAGTCCCCAACACTTTTTAATGGCCTTTTCCCGACAATCCTCTCCAGGATGCGGTCATCCCTGCTGCTTGTGCACCTTTTTCTTCCACACTTTTCCCTTCCACATACATTTCTATTAATGTGCTTTGATACAGCTTTTTGGGAATATCCAACTTCTTTTGAGGCTCTCCCTCCTTATGGAGGGTGTCAATGATGGTTTTCTGCACAACTGTCAGGTCAGTAATCTTTCCCATGATTGTGATTTCTACTGAACCAGACTGAGAGACCATTTAAAGGCTCAGGAACCCTTTGCAGGTGTTATGGCTTAATTAGCTGATTAGCTGATTAGAGTGGAACACTTTGAGCCTAGAATATTGCACCTTTTCAAAATATTCTAATTTTCTGAGATTGTGGATTTGGGGTTTTCATGAGCTGTAAGCCATAATCATCACAATTATGACAAATCACTGCTTGAACTATTTTGCTTTGCATGTAATGAGTCTATCTCATATATTGGTTTCACCTTTTAAGTTGCATTACTAAAATAAATGAACTTTTGCACGATATTCTAATTTTTTACGTGTTTCACCTGTACAGTAGACAGTATTGTCTTGCACAGCCATGAGATATTTTCATTCTGCGCCCGGAAAGAGTCGGTCATCTGGCATCTCTGTAATTTAGGAACAGCCTTGAATTTAATCAATGAATACAAAGCATTTTCTGATTGACTGAGGTGGAGAATATAATGCCATCTGACCAACCCCTTCTGCTACTTAACTGACCAGATCAATATCCCAGGAGTGTAATTGGCTTGATGGTAACTCTGATTAAAAAGTGTTCCTTCAATTTTTTTGAACAGTGTATATACCTATGGCCATGGAGGTGACTGGAACACCTGAATCCAATGACTTGAAGGAGTGTCCCAATACTTTTGGCAATATAATGTATATACAGTATATATATATATATATATATATATATATATATATATGTATTTGTATTTTTTATAGTTTATTCTGTATAGTGAGTACATACCTATACTGTAACTGTTAGTAATGCTGTACTAAAATATAAGAAATAAGCAAGACAAGGTTTCTGAAATTATTCTACATTACTATACCAAAGATGTGAACTTTCAACCGATTCCCAACTGCGCTATAGCCGAAAGACGGCTGCAGCGCGGTTGTCCAGTTCTGGGAGGGCGTCCATGAACGTCCTCCCAGAACATGCCCTCTGCGTACCCTCAGCGGCGCGCACCCGGCACTGTCAGTGATCACTGTATCCTAGGGACACAGCTGATCACATGACAAGGTAAAAGGCCAATCACAGAAGCCTTTTACCATGTGATCAGCTGTGTCCAATGACACAGCAGATCAAAAAGTAAATACAGTTGCCGGTTATGTCACAGTGTGAGGAAAGTACGGGCGATAACTGGCAAATGTGACAGAGGAGATCTGCACTGATAGGGCACTGATTATCAGTACCTGATTAACAGTGCCCATCAGTGCTGTCCATCAATTCCACCCATTTTCAGTGCCGCCAGTTAGTGCTGTCAGTCGGTACCCATCAGTGTCGCCTACCAGTACCCATTATTGCTGCATATCAGTGCAGTATCATCAGTGCCTCCTCATTAATGCCCACCTGTGCCACCTCATCAGTGCAGCCTATCAGTGCCCAACAGTGCTGCCTATCAGTGCAGCCTCATCAACACATATCAGTGAAGGAGAAAAATTACCTGTTTGCAAAATTTTATAATAGAAACAAAGAAAACTTTGTTTTTTTGCACTTTTTTGTTTATAGTGGAAAAAAGAAAAACCCCAGTGGTGATTAATTACCACCAAAAGAAAGCTCTATTTGTGTGAAAACATTTATAAAAAATTTACTATGGGTACAGTGTTGTATGACCGTACAAATGTCTAATTGCAACAGCACTGAAAGCTGAAAATTGGATTGGGCAGGAAGGGGGTAAAAGTGCCCTGTAGGTAATTCATCACAAACAGATGGCAACAAACAGCACCCTTTATCACCACTAGGTGGTAGCTTTCTCCATGTATACATACTCCTATGTATATTTGTACAGTGACCTAGCTTAACATCGTGCTTTTTTGTTCTCACATTTTCAATGAGATTATTTAAACAAAGCAGCAATAACAGAATGTTCAATACTAGTGTACAGAGAACACAAATATGAATAAAACCACTATATGCTACAAGTACAAGGTGTAGTAACCTATAACAACCAATCAAAAATCATTTTTTAGTGATATACCCAAAAATCTTTCATCTAATGGCTGTTAGTTGGTACTGTTAGCACGTAATCACTGCTTTCTGTACTATGTTTTAAAACCGATCTTGTTGGGCTGGCTGTAACTTGTGCCAGCAAAGGCACCCATCCAGTACTGGCTGCTGGCAGACAGAAGCAGAGGTAGTTGCAGTGAAAGCACACTTAAATACCAGCACTCCCAGTACCACGCAAATCCCATTCCTGGAGGTCAGGCAGTCACAGACTTCCGCTCTGGATCGGCAGCCCTGGCAATGACAAACCTTTTTTTCTGTAATCATTTTTTTTTTTTTTTTGCTTTTTTATTTTATTTTGTTTGATTTTTTTTTATAACACACTGTGACCAGAGCAATGTAATGTTACCATAGTAACTTTGTACTACTCTGGGGAAGTGATCAGGATTTTTTGTTACACATTATGGCGTTTATTTACCAAAACTGGAGAGTGTAAAATCTGGTGCAGCTCTTCATAGAAACCAATCAGCTTCCAGGTTTTTTGTCAAAGCTTAATTGAACAAGCTGAAGTTAGAAGCTAATTGACTGTCACCCATAGCTGTACCAGATTTTGCACTCTCCAGTTTTAGTAAATCAATCCCTATGATTGCTTATATTAGCAACCATTTTTACTGAATGAAATTGATTCATTCAGCATGTTGTGATTAGCTGTGATTGGCCACAGCTAATTGCATGGTACAGATGGGCTGTGATTGGCCGTGTCTGTAC